CTCACACCTATAATCCCAGCACTTTGGGAGGCCGAGGTGGGCAGATCACTTGGGGCCAGGAGTTTGAGATCAGCCTGGTCAACATGGTGAAATCCCATCTCTACTAAAAATACAAAAATTAGCCAGGCATGGTGGCAGACACCTGCAATCCCAGCTACTCGGGAGGCTGAGGCAGGAGAATAGCTTGAACCTAGGAGTTGGAGGTTGCAGTGAGCTGCAGTCATGCCACTGTACTCCAACCTAGGTGACAGAGCCAGACTCTGTCTCAAATAAATAAATAAATAAATAAATAAATATATAAATAAATAAATGCACTGAGAGGTAGATCTAAACTTTTTATGCTCTTTCCCAGCCAGTATTCACCCCCCGAGGTAGCCACTATACTGGTTTCTTTTACCTCCAATTGGTTTTGCCTGTTCTTCAACTTCCTAGAAATGGAATCACACAGTATATGCCCTTTTATGTCTGGTTTATTTCATCCAGGTTGTTATATGGATCAACAATCCAGTTTTTATTTATTTATTTATTTTTGTCTTAAAAACAATTTTTTTGAGATGGGGTATTGCTATGTTACCTATACTGGTCTTGAACTCCTGGGCTCAAGCAATCCTCCTGCCTTGGCCCCCCAAAGTGCTGAGATTATGGGAGTGAGTCACCATGCTTTTTTTTTTTTTTTTTTCCTGAACCAGGGTCTCACTCTGTCACCCAGGCTGGAGTGCAGTAGTGCAATCTTGGCTCACTGCAGCCTCAATCTCCTGGGATCAAGCGATCCTTCCACCTCAGCTTCTTGAGTAGCTGGGACTACAGGCATGTGCCACTATGCCTGGCTAATTCTTAAATATTTTTGTAGAGATGGGGTCTCACTGTGTTTCCCAGGCTGGTCTCCAACTCCTGGGTTCCCACCTTGGCCTCCCAAAGTGTTGGGATTACAGACGTGAGCCACTGTGCCTGGCCAACAACTTGTTCTTTTTATTGCTGTATAGTATTTCATTAAATAAATATACCACAATTTGTTTATCCATTCCTGGTTGATAGACATTTGAATAGTCCCCAGTTTGGAGCTGTTAGGAAGAGGTTGTTGTGAACATTCTTGTACGTGTCTTTCAGTGCACACATGCATTTTACTTAGCTGTTGGCCTGTGTTTTGTTTTTGTTTTTGTTTTTGTTTTTGTTTTTATTTTTGTTTTTTTGAGACGGAGTCTCGCCCTGTTGTCCAGGCTGGAGTGCAGTGGCACAGTCTCAGATCACTGCAACCTCTGCCTCCCAGGTTCAAGCAATTCTCCTGCCTCAGCCTCCTGAGTAACTGGGATTACAGGCAGGCACCACCACACCCGGCTAATTTTTGTATTTTTAGTAGAGACGGCATTTTGCCATGTTGGCCAGGCTGGTCTTAAACTCCTGAGCTCAACAGATCTGCCCGCCTCAGCCTCCCAAAGTGTTGGGGTTACAGGCATGAGCCACCACGCACGGCCCGGCCTGTACTTTTATAACTTAGATATATCACACTAGAAGAATTGTTCTACCACTTACAGCTTTCACTCAACTCCCTGTGTACCGTATTTCCACATCGATTTGTAGAAATCTACCTCATCTGTTTTTGTGGTTGCAGAGCGGACTCAGTGTTGGTAGTGTCCTGGCTAATTCTGTGTGCAGGGGCCGTAGCAACCACTGGGCGGCGCCATTCCCTGGGCCACGTGCCCCCAACTTCCCTGATGAGCAGAATCCTCTCAGGCCCTTGTTCCTAACATAGGCCCCTCAGCCCCATCCAGGTCGTAGGAATCCAGATCTCCAGGGGACAGCCTGGAAAACTGCATGTCTGACAAGTGTCCTGAGAAGGTTGGGAAGTGCTGTGTGTGCTGGGCTCAGAGACTTGCAGCACAGGCCTGGATTCGAATTCCTGCGCTGCTGCTTCCTTGCTGGTGACTTGGAGCAAGTTACTTCTACTTGCCTCAGTTCCTTTCTCTGGAGGGACTGTGGAGGGGAGTGGCTAAGACAGTCTGGGCTCTGAGGGCTTGAAGAGCTTTACCGGCTCCCCATCCCTGCATCTGTGTGTTCTCTCTGTGCCTCAGTGAGCTCATCTGTAAAATGGGAGGAACAGCAAGATCTTCCTAGAGGGCAGCTGTTAGAATTGGCTGAGGTAACAAGAAAAAGCATTGTGGCCGGGCGCAGTGGCTCATGCCTGTAATCCCAGCACTTTGGGAGGCTGAGACAGGTAGATCACTTGAGGTCACGAGTTTACGACCAGCCTGGCCAACATGGCGAAACCCCATCTCTACCAAAGATACAAAAAAATTAGCCAGGCATGGTGGCACACGCCTGTAATCCCAGCTACTTGGGAGGCTGAGGTGGGAGGATCACTTGAGCCTGGGAGATGGAGGTTACAGTGAGCCAAGATAGCGCCACTGCACTCCAGCCCGGGCGACAGAGTGAGACTCTGTCTCAAAACAAAAACAAACACAAAAAACCAAGACATTTTTTTAGCCCTCACTTGGCTGTTTCAGTAGTTAACCATTTCCCTCTGATAGATGTCAATATTCTGTCTGTCTTTCTTTTTGCTTTTATACCATTTCATTGTACTTGTATCTATTCTACCATCTGGTGATTTCATTTCTCTCCACCCACTTCTTAGAAGTGGTTTTGCCAGGTCAAAGGCCCTATACATTGAATTTTTATCTGCTTCTGCCACGTCATTTCCAAAACCACAGAGCAATTCATCCACCTACCTAAAGGGAAGAAATCTGTTCCACCAGATGCCATCAGTCTTTCCATTTGTTTGCTAATCTGATGGGCAGAGGTGGGTAACTTATTGTTTTAATTTGCATGTTGCTACAACCTTGCCAATATGCAATTATCAGCCTTTAAATAATTTCCAATCTGATGGAAAAAAGGACATCTGACTCTATATGGCATATCCCTTACTACTGTGATGAAACATCTCTGTGTGTGTTTGGTTTTTTCTTTGTTGTTGTTGTTGTTTTGAAA